TGGAAAGTCCCAAAACCAGTGCATACAAAAGAGAGTTCAATTATGTTCTTAATTGTAGGCACAGACTCCAAAAATGACTGCAGGTCACGTTAGGCAGGAAACAGTCACGGAGGTTTGAACTTCAAATCAGAATTAGCTGAACTTTCAGTCTGACTGAAAAGATTCTCCAAGGAAAATTCCTCTTTCTGTCAGTTGCCATTTCCTGCAAATTCATTCATATGGTGAGCTGCTTGGGTGGGGTCAGCTCAGGCAGCCGCAGCAAGTGAGGAAAATCACAGCCAGCTGCTACTGATAAACTGGTGATGCCACTGTATGGAGGTCTGTGATTTGGCAGGGAGGAAACCAGTAAACATTTAGGACTGACACAATCCTCTGTGCCACCCATATTAGCAGCAGCCATAAAGGTCACTGATAATTACAGTGCCTGAGGGCGTTGAAATTATTGTTACTTCCGTGGGAGTGAGAGACAACTGCATGTTAACGGCTGATGCACTTCTGGTCTAGTCTGGGAAACGACAAGCAGCTAAGCCAAACTGGCTTCGCGCCTGCAGCTGTCGATAACCTGTGGAGAACAGTCCAAACCACCAGATATATCACCCACAAACCCTTACAGGTAAAGGAAAAGAACAAAATAGACTGTGGATGTGGGTTTTACGTGGTAGCAACCATGATGCATGTATCAGAGATGTGTTGGTGACAAACCCAACCTCTCTCTTGGTCCTTTCGCTTTGCTGGCCTTCAGCTGGAAGTCTGAACTTCTCTAGTCAAAGAATTCAGTTTAGTGCTGAAAAATGAAATTTGATAAAGCATACTTTCTGTTACCAGCTGATGATAAAATATGACGTGTTTTGAACACATGAATCGTTCCAGTACAATGCTGCAGTGTTTTCAAAGTAGGCAAGATTATTGTGGTGGGTCATGTTTGTTTCATTATTATCCCCTCTGTGAAGGTACAGGTAACTATGTACATTTAGCCTTGGTCCTAGGAAAAGCAGTTTTAGAGGAGAGTTTGGCAGAACACCTTCCTTAGCTCTATCACATAAGGTTCTCCTTCTAAAAAAAAAACCAAACTAGTATTTTGTAAATAACGGAAATACACATCATATGAAGCTGAGAATTGTAATCTTCTATCTTGACTGTATTTTCAAACACTTATCCATTAGTGCAGGAACAGAAATGTGAGGCAAGAAGACCAGAAAGCAAATGGAGAAGCCTTCCTACAGCATCTCTGAAATTCCAAAAAACTTTTAAGTTCTTGGGCTGACTTATTGCCTCCTTATATAAGAAGCTCTACATAATTTTTTCTCGTATTCTCTACAATGTGTTCCACTACCACTCAACTACATTCAGAACTAAAATTATCCTTTATCAAAGAAGAAACAGTCACCAGAGTTGTTCTATTCCATCTTCTTACCCAGCAGCACAAACACCAATACCCAAACTGCCCTTTAAAAGTGTTTATCTAGTCTGTCCTTATCTAATCTGTCCTTAAAAACAATGTCTCTTAGCAACCTATTTTCAAACCTAATTACTGCTGCTGTCTAGCCACTCCCTCTGAACACTCTCTTCTCTGGCAAGAACACTGCCATCTTGCATTTTTTGCCCTTTGCTTTTTAATTAACCCGCATCCCACAGAGCTCAAGAGAGCTTTTTCCTCCACCATGTCAGCAATTCAGTTTTCACTTTTTCTAACTTTTCACATATTTATAGGCTCCGCTACTATTATACAGTAACTTGATTGCTGCTGCTAACTTTTTTTTATTCCTCATTTATTTTCCCCTGTTCCTGACAGCTGCTATCCAAATTAGTGGAAATGTCTGCAGAGGTTTACATTAGGTTCTTGCTTGGATACATTTCAGATTTCTTCTCCAACTTAAGTTCTTCAAGACTTCATGGTGTCTGTACAACTAATTTTACTTGCTTCCTGCAGTCCACCACGATCCTTGCCATACAGTCAAACATCCCTTTGAGATGTACATTTTTCCACTATGTTTTTGTGCTCTCTTCCATGAGTTCTTTCATTTGAAATGGCAGCTGTCCTCCAATGAAAGCATTTTTTTTTACCCCTTCATTAAATTCTTGAGAACCCATCTCTTCTACAAGAATTTTAGCAGTAATGAGCTCGTAATTCTCTCTGCTGTTTATACCTGTCTTTCAGAATCTCACGACATCTCATCTTGCTGGCACATTCTTGTTACAGGAGAACCCCATGCATGTTTAGGTGCTAGAGGAATAACTGCAGTATTAATTCAGTCTTTTGAGACCTGGCCTACAAAAGTCATGGGAACTGTTCTCAAAGAAAGACACACCAGGTATGGAGGAACATTTCACTTAACCTTGGCTAGAGCTACCAGTGGTTTTAAAAGCATTTAGTTTAAAAAAGTTCTTCCTCAATTGTATGATCCTATCTTTCCTCATTAACTCTTTCTCTGACTTCCTGTTTTCAAGGTAATGGTTCCGCATTGTGGTGAACACCAGTAACTAAAGAATCAACAAACCTTTCTCCAAAGACTGCAAGACAATCCTCTGTCATGGTTTGTTGGCTCTGTGTGTGAGAGTATTTCATGGGGAAGGTATATTACCTTTCCATTAAATGATGATGGAAGTTCAAGTGACCTTTAATAAAGTCTAGTTACGTTGCAGCTTTGGGAAAATAGCCAAGATACACACTGTAAGGACTAAGTGAAAACAAACTAGCATAAAGAGCTGCTTCAAAACACTTTATTTACAAATTTACATGATGATGATTCTAAGCCAAGAGGCATGCACGTCTCTCCCTTTGTGACTGACTGATAGTTACAGTAGCCCTGTCTCAGAACCCTGCCTCATGCTGAGATTCTGGCAACCTCTCCAGTGTTAACAGCTAAGCTCCTCCCTTCCACAGCTGGACTCATTCTTCCTCTTTTCATTTTATCTTTACTACTAGTTCTATTCCAGCTTCTTAGAGTTTGAGGGTCAAAATTCTCGTATTTGCTTTATGTTAATCAAGGAAAACTTTGAAAGAAATATTTTTACAAATACATAATGCTTACAGGGGGAAATCTCCCCCAGAATCATCATTAACCAATATGCCAGCATCTATATCCTCCTGGATCCAGACTTCTTAGACAGCAAAGGTCATGTCAATACCGTAAAAACACCTCTCTTATATGTCAGTGGCAGCATGGTCACAACAGCACAGAACTCAGGATGAGTAAGTTTTTCAGTTGCTCTCTATATTTAATCTTTTCTTTAGTAATCATATTAACAGTAATCCCAGGTCCTTTCTAATTTTTCCCAAATCTGTGTTCAAAGAATCAAAATTCCAATTCAGGAGCAGATCTGAATTTTATATTCAAGCAAGGTGTTTCCCAATGGCCACTACTCTATGATACACAGCAAAGTTACAGGTTTAAAAAAAAAGAAAATAAAACCATCATCAACTGCTGTTTTGAAGTCATTACTGACAACAAAGTTATGCTGGAACGTAGCGCATACCAACTGAAATATATTGTAGTTATAGTCTAATACCTTGCTAAGCCATTAAAGAAACTTCCCTGTGGGGCATATGTGAAGTTTGACATACTGCTTGTAACTATGGTGAAGACTAGATTACGGCATTTTCTGCTACATTTCACTGTAAAAATGTGTTACTCCTAGAGTCAGTGCAGACTCTGCTTCTTTAGGACACTCCTGGCAGCTCATAAAAAGAGAAATGAGTTGAGCAGGGGGTAACTAAATAATTATAATACTTAAGCAGCATACAGATGGACCAAGCCAGGGTTTTAAACACATCTCAGACATAATTTATTTGCCCACAGTACACCTGCCCTTTCTCTAAGGCCTTTATCCATATACCTCATCTTAGCAAGAGCATTTTGATACAACGGACAGAAAATTTTAGAAAGAAAAGCAATGAGGGTTCTTCAGCTATCACAAATGTGCTGGGAACTGTTCACTTCGACACACCCATTCAGAGCCCGGCAGCGCTGCAACCATTACAGAAGTAACCACTGCTGCTCAAACAAATGAGATATATATTTACTATACACACACACAGAGCCCTTGGGTGATAATGGCCATGAAAAATTTATTTTGTTAGACTCCTGGAACCAGTGCAGAGAAAAAATAATGTAGAAGTGTAATTGTTATCCCTAACCACAAAATGCATTGAGGCAATTGCTGTCACAGTGAGAGTCTGTTGAAAGTATGGCCATTTCCCTCAAATGTGGTTGAGCCTGCATCATCTGAAATTTCTGAAGCATTTTGTCATTTTGGACATAAAATATTTTTTCCTCTGTATTAATGTTTCATTTTTAAATACGATTTGAAGCAGATAACCAAGCTACAGAATGTTAATTGATAAGCAACTGTATTTTGTGGTCACTTCTAACCCCCTTTGTTCCAAAATCTCGTCAGTCAACCCCAAAGAAACCTTAGGAAGTCAGAAAAAAGTATTCTTGACATAAAAGCTCTCCAAATTTCAGCCACAGATCACCGCAATTTTGCTTCTGTTCAGCAAGGCTGTGTCAAAATGCAGTATGTATTAGCTGTTAGTGCAGCCCACATAAACTCAAGAATGCAGTTGTTGTGTGCTGGCAGGGGGGAAGGGGGGGCCATCACCATCCCCACCATCACCCCTCTTTACTGTCTGAAACGGAGCTGGGAGAGCAAACTAAGTATGTAACAGCAGTCACACTGTCAAACCGAGCTTTACCAGAGCTATTCCAAATTCCCTAATGTACCACTGTTCTTAGTTTAAACTTAATGATCTACAATTCCCTTTTTATAGATCTGGAATTGCCCTTTACAAGCAATACAAAGCTGTCTGTGGTCGTACACACCAGCACAGCTGCAGTTACAGTTCTAAAGCATCTCGGGTAACTCTTACAAATAATAAAACTTTATATAAAGACAGATGCAAGAAAGCCGTTAGCTATCTATCAGAAAAGCTTTTGCTGTCTGGAGCATAAACTTATTAGCAACCGTAAGTGTTTTTATTCATAAAAAAAAAAACTTACGTGTTTCTGTTAGACAAAGCTTCAGCAAACATAATCCAAAAGTTGCCCATAAGGAAAAGTTGGCCATTGTTTTCTCAGAACTGTTTCGCAAAAACCAGAGATCCTTGCAAGCTGCAGAAAGAAGAAAAGCCCCAGTGCTTGTTAAGCCTACAGTCAATGAGTCTGAAGTTTGCTGCACTTTTTATTCCGATTCAAAGGAACTGAAGTAATGACATAACTGGGAGGGGGAGCTCCATCAAAAGTCACACCCACACTGCAACAAAAGTTACCCAGCAGTGGAGGAAGGGAGGCTGGGAGGGGAACTAGTACTGACTAAGCAGCCACACTCAAGTTTTAAAGAGGCACTGAACCTCCTCTTCTTACACAAGTACAGTTGAAAGTTATACTTACTGCTCTTGCAGGAAAATTTGTGTCATCTCTTGTGAGTTAGCTCAGAAAGGCACTGTTTGTGGTAAGCTTCCTCTCCTGCATCTGAAAATCTCCTCACTATTGCAAACCAGTGGAACATAAAGCACTAGAGTGTCTGAACCCCAGCAAGGCATCTACAACTGCCTGGATGTTTCCCAAAAATATTTTGCTTATTTTGCCCCATCTCACTTTTTTCTCTTTTTGCAGTACAATTTAGAGTAAGCAAAATGCCTGCTCTGCCATGAATTTTTCTGAAATGTTTCTGTTTGTCCCTGGAAGATAACCTCATGCAGAAGAGAGGTCGAGGCAGTTAAGTCACAGCCCATTCTACCCTTGGCTTCTCTGCACAGGCTGCTCCAGCAAAAGTGGTAACTACCTAATTGCAGTGCCAGCAGTGAGACTGAGGAGTAAGGCTGATATGTCATTGTATTGGTGGCACAAGGCACAGAATGAATTATTCCTCCTATTCCCAATTCGCAAAGCAGAGAAAGAGGATGAGAACATATGACAGTCTTTGACATCCAGACAAGCGCTCGGTTTCTGAGGGACTTGTTTCTGAGTTCCTTGCAGTAGGGCGTTTTGTGTGACTCTGGATGCCACATGAAATCCCTGCTGAAAACCTCAAAGCCTCGGTAGATAAATGAAAGGCATGTCTGCTGTGTGCCTCAGCAGCTTCTCATGGTGTCTCCAGACACTGGCCTGGCTTCAGAGCTGCAGGACTGTGACAGTGGTTTGTGTGCAGTGCAATAAGGGGTTGGTCAGGGATAACCAAACCCAGTACATCTCCCCTTTAACAACCAGCATCTGGCAATGACTGACAGACGGCCATGCCCCGATTTCAGTTTCACTCAGCAAATTGGAAATGAATGGTTCCGTCTCAGATTACGATTTTGTCAATCCTCCCACTTGAAAGAAATTTCTGATTAATTTTTAATCTCTGTTAACACAAACAATAGAAAAAAATACAGACAGGTCTTTCCAGCCACAGGCACAAGAACATTACACAAAGAGGTTTTCAGGACTTTGCCTTTTCTTTGACTTTTGACTTAGAGATGGCTGTATACCCTTTCCTCAGTCAGCCAAATTTTTAGCGACAGGTTCTAACAGGCTTTTCCTACAGGTCTAGAATATCTGATGGGAGAAGGTTAAAATGAAAATCTTTCCTTAAAACACAGGGGAACTTTTTATTAAGAAGCTAGCAACTTTGAAGTTACACATAAAACATGTTTTATTTAGTGAATATACTACTTTTTCTTTTGAAAAAAAGGCTTTAAAAGCAAGGAAAAAACAATCTCCTATACACTTTACTGTTTATAGTAGAGGAAAAGAAATAGTTCTGTGAATTCCTGTATGTTTACAGCTATAGATATTTTGGCATCAAAATATATGAATAAAGTTTAGTGGGATTGAAAATGCTGGTACACAGTCAATGCATGTTTTAAGTTTACTAGGCATATCTTTTTCTTCAATTGCTAAATTATTTTTAAAATTCACCCCTATGGATGAAACAAAAGAATGGAATATTTAATTAAAATTTAGGTATCTTTGAGTCTTATTTTTTTTATTAACACAAAATACCTCTCTGTTAATGTCCTATATGCAAAATCATATGGAATGAAAAAATGAAAATAAATTTTCTTTAGCACAGGAAAATGGAGAATAATGTCCATTTCAGGGATGTGGGCAAGTGTTACAGAGGCAAAAGTCTTATTTTACCAGGAGTGGAAATTCCTTGTGTCTTCATGGTCTGAAGTTTCTAATTTTAGCCCTTCTGACATCAGATTATGAACAGGTTGTTTTCACAATACTGAATATTACTTGATATGCATCTTAGAGTTCTCAATATTTCTGCATGTGTTTGGCAGGGGTGGGTGGTATTCCACTTTGGAAAGTCTCTCTCTTGCTTGTTGCCATATAAAATTGGGCTAAAATTAGGCACATTTAGACCAGGTGCATGAATGCGCTAGTACCTAATGCAAAAAGAAAAGACAGATGTACGTAAGAAAAATAATTCAACACAGCGCATCTTTTCATGTGATAAACCACAGAAATCATTCATGAACTGTGTGTATATAACACCTAAGTTTGTCCATTTCACATGCCATCTGCTGCTTCCATGCCAGCCTGGGACACACACTTGCATTCCAACGCTCTGAGCACTTCAAAGAGCTGCCATTAACAAATAAATAGAAAAGCTGGCGCAAAAATATTTCCTTCTTTCCCACCCAAACATGGAATTTCTCCCCTAAAACATGTTGGCCTGAGGCAGACAGCAGTCCAAATTTAGCCTGGGGGCAGGGCCTGATGCTACCTAGAAAATTTAGTCCAAGGAGGTATACAGCTCTGGTAAAAGGTTTTTTCTTTTGTTTGGGTTTTTTTTTTTTTTGTGAGAAATACATAACTTTTCCTTTAGCTTGGGATGATGTACTAAAGTATATAGGAACAGAAAAACCTTAAAGCAAACCTTCAGCTGAGGAAATGCAGCAGAGCATCGCTTTCAGTTGAGCCTATCAGTTTATCCCCATTGTGGATTTGTTTCTATGACATTATTGTTAACAACACAAATCTCACAGTTAAATATTTGAGCTTTTGGAATTTGCTTACTCCCTTGGTAACAAGCAGTTAAATTACTGTCACTAAAATTTTGAAAAATAATAAATGGTACCAAATGAATTCAATTTTCAAAAGAGAATGAAACAACACAACTGAAAAGGATAAAAAGTCAGCGTTTTAAAAAAGTGGTTTTCTGTGAAGCCTTTGACACAGCGGATACAGAATCTACGATGGTACAATATAGAACAGCAACACCAAAATAACTCATTCGTGATTTTATCGCATATGTGAACTGTAGCCAGCACCAATTAATTTTGATAAAAGTCCTATTAGGGAGTACTGTGTTGGAGCCCTAGAAAAGGAACATATATGGATTACAGAAATATAAAGAGATGTTTTTGTGGGAATCCCCATAGAGCATGAAATTCTGGCCTAGCTCAAGTCAAAAGTCAAAGGCTGAAATTCCACTGAATTCAGTGGGGCAGCCTCTCCCTATAATGTATATTTATTTAGATTTTATTATGTGGACACACCAGAAAGTGAATGTACCTGAACTTATGACGAAAAAAAATTACACCGATGGAGATCAATTTCACTGTCAAAGGGGAACAATTGAAAGGGAGGAATAATGGAATTTTGTTTCTGTCAAAAATGCTGGCATTTCTATTGCAAAAACCAGAAACTTTGCAAAAGAAAGCTCCTAATTTGAAAACCTTTTTCTTTTTCTATTATCAGCAGAAATATTTTTTTTAAATTAAAAAAAATATCCTTTTCTGAACGTATTTTGGTGGAAATTTCAAGCTTGTTATGGAGAGCTGAAGAACATAATCTTGGTGAGTATAAAAAGCACAAATCTCATTAGGTAATTCTGGTCATGGCAGTGTTAGTTCTGCATAGACTACATCTGGTCTGTGAGACTGGCTGTAAATCTGTTTCAGGGAGGAGGGAGAATTTCAGAACCATTTAACTGTAATCTCAATAAGATATGGTATTTTTAATATGATTTTCTCCTCTGTCCTTAGACTGCAGTCTTGTTTTGTGCATTTCAGACTGGATTTAATTTCCATGATCAACCCTGAAACCAGGTTTTGTAATGGAAACGATTGTAAATGGCTCAGTGTAGCAAATCCTGTACTGCACACATCTCCTGGGCTCTGCGCGCTGATAGGAAGGCATAAGAAGAGCCTGTGCTGGTTTAAGCCAGAAAAGTGACTCTTTTGGCTGGAGGTCAAAGCACTCCCTTGGGAAGTTGGGCATCCAGTTCTACTCCCATCAGCCTTTTGTTCCTGGATTTAATTTACAGCCTGTGTCCTGCAAAGAGTTAGGAAGATGAACAATGGCTCCTAGTTGTTTACTTCTGAAAAAGGCAGCAACCCAGATTGGCACCTACCACGTGGATTCATCAGCCTGTTCTACTGGTTTGCCCCAGGTCCCTAAACAACTCGCTAATCCAACACAGCCAAAATCTGAACAGCCAGAATTGCTCAAGTAGGCCGTAAGAAACTCTTTGCAGCAAGGTTTCTCCTGCAGCAGACCATGGGGCCCCATCAGCTTTCTTCTTCTAGCAGAATCCCAAAGCACGCAGTCCCTGGCTGACCCACACAGCTCCCCCGCAGAGCACAGGCAGGACATCACAGACCCAGCCGCGTTCACGACATCCACACCATTCACACCACTATACCCAGTTAGTTACTGCAGCACTGTTGGAGATGGGGCAGGAAACCTACACGCAGCAGCCGCCGCCAGATGTCCAAGCGTGCAGCACAGAGCTGCTGAACGTATTAGTGACTAATTGAGCTGCAAGCAGCTGTGCAGAGGGCTGGGGGGTGGGGGGAGTACAGGGGGAACTGAGGGGAGAAGGGGAAAAACATTTTCTCAGTCTGCCTCTGCCCCTTCCTCCCCCTTGTTGGCCCTCCCAGCACACACCAATTATATATCAGAGCATCAGCTGACACCTTTGTGCTAAGCATTCTGTGTCCCCACTTTCATTTTTTTCATTTGCAGTTTGACAATAGGTAAATCAAGCTCGTACCAGGCCATCTCCAGGATGTGCTTTTTCTCATCTCCCTCCATCTCCTCCCCACTGTCTTTCCATTCTCTTCCTTTTGATTTTGCTTCTTGACTTCTGCCTTGATTTCTCTTTCTCATCTCCACTAATTTCTCCTTTTTTTTTAGCTCACATCCTTT